TAATTTTCTAATTTTTAACGATACAATAGCGACGATTATTATTTTAAAAAATTTTTGTTAGGCTTAACATCGATGAAAATTCAACGCGAAGTAGGTTAATAGAGATATACTAATATACTAATTACATGGGATATAATAATACACTACACTAATAATGGATTTTTTCATACTTTTCGGTTATCCGACTTTTCAATTATCCGACCAACCCCAGTCCCCAATTGGGTCTGATAATCGAGGCTCTACTGTATACATATTTTATGAAAAAATACGTATGTATTCATTATATTACTCTATGTGATGAATTACTGTAAATAGTCAGTGTTATGATTTTAAAAATTCCAAAACTCGTTTTGAGTTCTTTAAAATGATTTCCAACTTGGAAATTATTCGGGTAATTATTAATCCAAACAAAAACATTTAAAGTGTAAAAATGTACGTCAAGCAAACCTTATGAGAATTTAAACAACCGGCAAAAGTTTTTCTTAGTACAGTTGACCACCCTATAACGCGGTAGTTACGTTTCGCTTTATATGAATTTCGCGTTGTAGGAATCTTTAAATACACGAGCCAATCGCAGCCCGACACGTGTGAAGTTCCCGGACTACGGCTGTTTGAAAAATTTTCTTCCATAAAATTAATCGATTCTAGACTAATTCGACTCAATATTTCCAAAATACGTATAATTTTTTGGGGAATAATCCATATAAAGTATGCTATAAACAAAAAATTGTAGGATTACTTACTGAATGTGCACCGTTCGTCGACGCCATTGCTTAAGCTTGTTTTCGTCGCATCGAACGGCTTGTGTTTTCTGATAAGTTATTTTTCTGCGAAAAATTCGCTGAACTTTGGAGACATCATTAATATAAATATAATTTTTATTGCCGTTGGATAATAAATGTTTTTTAGTATGTGCAGTTCTCGTTTACACTCAACGGTTTGTGCAATATCCGCTATTGGTCTAGATTCGACCAATCCTGTCTCGACACGAGTCGGCGATGACGTTTTACCGTATTATACGAGTCTCATTTAGTGTGTTTATACGAACACGATCGCAATTTTTTCGCCGTGTTATAGGGGTCTACTGTATTTATAATATAAAAATAATTCTTTGTAACTTACTGTGATTATTCACGGAGAGTGGAGAAAACTGTTTATTATAAAAATGTTTTGGAGTAAAGTAAATCCTATTAAATATCTTCGATTGTTAAATTTTTCGAAATTATAATAAGTATTTAAGGTCTTTCTTTCCTGATTTCGTAATGGAATTATTGTTATCTGATTAAAATTTTAAAAATTCGACAACAAGAAATAATAATGATAATCACGAAATAAGGAAATTTTAGTGAGTTGTTATGAGTAAGACATTTACTAGTGTAAAATTTCAATACTAAGTGTTTAGTTATAACTTTTAACGTTATTTTGAATTGTATTTACTTTTTTAGACGTTTTTATATGTAAAGTATATTAAAATTTCTGTTGTTTCGTGTGTTATGATAAAGTAAAACGTTAATATCAATTGTGAAAAATTTTACGTATTTTAAATACACAGAAATTTAGTTATAGGCTGTGCGATTCTAATTACACTTTTTAAACGTTTCGTAAATTCCATTCCTGCTGGATTATATGCTGTTCACGAAGTAGGAAAACCGTTTAGACCAGAAGGTCATCTTTTGTTTTACAAATCACGAAAAACCTATTAAACCTTTAAGGCTGTATTCATGTATGCTATTATACTATCAAGCTACCTTTCCAAATATATAATATATGTTTATACAAATGCTCTTGTTAAAGTAAAAATATAAATTATTTTTAATAACGCAAATTTAATGCTGACGTCAAACAGTCATTTCATATATTATTAGATTGCTTTTGCGAAAAATTACGTTGTTTACGCTTTACTGATTTAATAACGTGATTACACAATTAGATGAAAGCAACAATAAAAAAAAGGAAAATAGAAATAAAAATTACGATTAAATTTATTCCACAACTTTCCTACGTATTCATTTGAACGAACAGGCATCGAACCTTGAAATACAAGAAAACCAAAGAGTTGGAGTAATTTCTTTAGCATTTTATTTGGCTTCAGAATGTGATGAAGTCAGTAATGCATAACCCATTCATTAATGATTTCTCCGTGGTAAATATTCTTTGTTGCTACAAACCATCGACTGCGATAATACCTGTGTAATTTTTATTAAAATTTATGTCACTTGAAAATTGTTTGGCCGCTCCACTTCTCAATAAATCATCGAGAAGTCCATTATTAATAAAATTTTATTTCGGCATCATATGTTAACTTCTCACGAAAATTGTTGATACTGGATGGTTCTGAAATTCTTTGTGATATTTCATCCAGGGATTTTTGAATTTCTTCTTGGGAATGATGTAATGTTTTGTTTAGGACAATTACGGAGAAAATGTTGATGTCTTGTTGTAAATGTTACTACACAAATTTCAAGATTAATTATAACAAATTAAATGTGATATTATATAAAGAAATATAACAAATACTTTATGTAGAGGAGTGGAAATAAATCAGCCAAATTATTTGTGGAGAAATCAGTGTATCAGTAGAAAAAATATATCTTGATACGTGCTTCTTGTCCTTAATTACACTATTTGTGTTCACTTTGGACATTCTTCTATACTAGGACTTTTTATAATGAGGGAAGAGAAACACACAATTTCCAATGAAAATATATTTATTGTAACGTATTCTTATATGCAACTACAATCGAGTATTTCAGGCCAATTTCCCTCCCTTTTTAAAAACTTATATATATTAATTGTAGTGTAATTTCTAAATTGTAATTATAAAATGGTTACGTCTGCTAAAGACAATGTAGCTCTAGATAATCCGGGTTATAACGATCTAAATGTGATTACTATAGTGTAATTTGAATTGATTAATCTTTGACATTGTACAGCACATCTAAATACTCAGTAGCAACAGGTAAAGAATATCAATGTACAATGTAAACAAACTTACCTTGTTTACATTTTCATTTTCTGCTTACAGTAAAATAGTTACGGCATAAAATAATGTAGTAGATAGGAAATTCGGTAGTAATATGATAATATACATTTATTAATATTAATAAATATTTTAAAAAATAACAAATATTCTCTTATTCATTTCATGCTCTCACTATTACAGACAACATATTCAGATACAGAACGATTATTCGTATTTTTATTTTTAGATGGAACTGGGATTATACTAAGAAACACAGGAATGACAAACACAGCATGGAATAATGTTTCTAGAGATATAAGAACAATAATTTTCACAAATGTTCTATATACGTACATATTAATATATAGAAATATCAGTAATACAACAATTGTGGACATGGAACCTTGCAGTATGGGAAAACCGACGTGGTAAAGTGATTCCTTCAACTTTGCTTTTGCTTCAGAGTGTGATGAAGTGAGAAAAGCGTAACACATGTGAGTCGGATAATTAACACAAAATCCGTTACAAAGTATTATAATCATCATGGAAATGACGTCAAGATTTACACCCCAGAAAGACATGTATCCGACGGTTTCTACGATTATTGAAACAACCGCAATTGCAACAGTTAATGCGCAAGCGAAATTCGGAACAAATGCAATAAACACAATAAATATTAATAGAGCTGTTAACCAGAATAATTGGAGAGTAACTCGTTTGGTAATAAGGCCTTGTTCCACCAAAGGAGAAAAGTAGGAATGCACAATAACGGGTAATTCGATTTCTTCTGCAATTTTCCACATATCGTTAATGACTTTACTTTCAATTTCTCCATGGTAAATATTCTTTGTCACTACGAAAAATCGACTTCGTATAATATCTGTGAAATTATTATTAAAATTTATGTCACTTGAAAATTGCTTGGCTGCACCAATTCTCAAAAAGACATTGCGAAGTCCGTCAATGAAATCTTGTTTTCGTGACACGTTGTAACCCTTCATTGTAAGCCTGGATATTGGATGATTCTGGAATTGTTTATAGTATTTTAACCAGGAAATCTCAAGTTCTGAACCAGCGACATTCGGATGAGACTGAAATTTCATCATTATATTTTCAATAGATTTCTGAACTTCTGTGTCGGAATAATCTAATGTTTTATTGATGACAATCTGAAGAGGAAATGTATATTCTGTGAAGTCGTCATAAAATATATGATATCCTTTTGTTATCTTTGAATGTTTTGGATAGAGTGTAAATAGGTTTACTCCTTCTTTTAAAAATGTTACACCCCAACTACCTATTCCGAGATTAATTATGTACAGAAGTATAATCATGGCTTTGATTACGGGTTGAGAAATAAATTCAGCCAATGTATCTCTAAAGAATTTCATAAATATGAATTCACTTTTCTGCTTTGAGCTGGATTCGCTGGAGTATTCTGAAAATGGTAAATCAGATTATATACAAACATAACAATATGCAAATACAGTATACCTCCTATAACACTGTAGATAATTCCGTGTTATATGAATTCCATGTTGTATTAGTCACTTAGATTTTACAAATACTTGTGTCGGTCTGCGAATGGCTCACGTATTTGTACAATCTAAGTGACTCGTACAACATGGAATTCATATAACACGAAATTATCTACAGTGTTATAGGGGGGTCTACTGTATAACAAATTATTTAAATGCTAGTACAATCAGTGTAGTGATTTTTATATAATTCATTTTCATATAAACAGGGTAAGTCAGATGGAGAGAAAATCAATACTATGTGTCACTTTATGTAAAGAACTATATGAACATAGGTATTCTTCTCAGTAGTTTAAGAAATATACTTGAAAGTTAGTAACTCACAAACAATAATAATGAATAGTATATGTGATACGTTCATAAAAAATGCTCAAATATTCCATCGTGAACGTCAATACACTTTATAATTTCTTTAGTATTTATCAATATCTTCATGTTTAATATCTGTTTTCAGGAGACTCGAATGTTGTGACTGAAGATTATTATCGCTGCCTAACTCAGAGAAACGACACGTCAACTTCAGACACCAGTTGAAAATTGTATTGAGGTTCAAGTGTTCAAGTATTGAGCATTTTATTTGAAAGTAACACATGTATTTCTCTCTCTTCCTGAGCCACCATATATTTAATAAGTAAAGACTGTAATAAGATAGATACATTTTACATATTTTTTAGTTACATTAACTTTTTTTCCTAAAAGAGCGTACAAATAAATTTAAAAATTAATTTTTACCTTTTACAGTTTTAAATGTGAACGGGTTAAGATCTCTTTCTTCTCTGTATCCACTAAGAGCTAGGCACGCTCCGAAGAACGTAATCTGATACAAATATGCAAAGCAAACACAAGTGGTAGCATAATAAGAGAAAAACCGTACACCGGGGAATTCTGTGGTCATCGCAATGCAGAAAGATAAAATATTTGTTAAAGTCGTTATAGTTATAGAAAGAGCGGATTTTGAATAAGTTTTCGCCATTCGCTCTTCTACTTTATCGTGAACGTTGGTAATTCTCCAGTTTGCTATTATCACAAAGGCATCATCTATCTCAGTAGCTACAAATGAAATAAAATTATTCTTTTTAATATTTTAATAAATGAAAAGAAAAACAAATAAAAATAATTATGTTAAATATAGTGTATCGGAGAGATCTTTATTATTATACAAATATAAAAATAAAGCGGTGCATTGAAATACAGTTTGAGGTGAATGAAATAATGACCGAAAAAGTTACTACTGGTAAGAAGTAATACCGCTTAAAATGCATTTGAAGAAAATAGAATGAATTAATTATTAATTCAATTGTCTTAACGTCCTTATATTAGTTGACAATAATATAAATACAGAATGTATCTACTTAGTATTTTTTACGTTCTATGCATTAAGTACAAGAGGTCTGACATGAGGCCCAAGAAGGAATATATAATAAAAGACAAAGTTAATAACAAGAAACTACTTCTACAGAGTGAAAAGGTGGTTATTTGTTCATATTCAATAAACCACTGTATTCCATGGATCCCCAATAGAACGCTTTTCTAAACTATTTCTCCGACCGGAACCTTTCGAGTTCTGAACACTTCTTGTTTCTCTAAATTTCTGCATTCATGTGTACTTGAAAGACACTCAGCGTTGACTTTTCATACTTCCAGTGATACTTTCTATGCACAGTTATTGCAAGTTTGTTTAAGTTAACAGCTAACCACAATACCGTACATGTTCTTTTCCGCGTTATCGCGATTTTTAATTCATCATTATAAATATTTGCAATAAGAAAAAGCTTTTTGAAGTATTCTTTCATTTGCCACAAATCGCATTTCAATGGACCGTTTAGTTTTTGTGTTATGAATTTGTATAATAGATCTCACTCTCTCGTACACTCTGTATATTTGAAGAATTATTACTTACCAAATATTAAAAAAGGTAAAGTAATGTTATAACTAATATTTTGTATTTCGAACGCACCCATCAGTCCAAATGACGAAACAACTGCTAATCCCGCAGAAACAGTAGCAGCAAATCCCATCCATGGTTTACTCCTTACCCAACTGTTTGTCATATAAGTCATCACGCAGAACAAAGTAACTACAACGATTGCAACGCTTATCAAAGGTGTAATTTTGTCAACAAGTGTTTTTATGTCTAATTCAGTTGCTAAAAATGGGCAAGGATATATCTCAATCGAATGAAATTTCAATTTGTTGACATTCCACAAAAATGCTTTCTGCCATTCTCGAATCCATTCTGTTTTAGACGAATTAGATTCATCAACAGCATAAATTAATCTTATAACTTTCACTTCTTTCACGTCTCCTTCATTATTATGTTTTACACCACCTAAATTCATTACCCACAAATGAGATGTGTAAGTAACCGGATCGATTTCAACTGGAAATTTTAATTTTTTTCTTCCAGAAAGTAGATCGTCCATCTGTGGTAATACATTTATTATTGGATTATCAAAGCATTTATCGTTGACTATTCCGCAGACCATACTATAATTGATCATCCTTCCATCTACCATAGTCGTTATGTTCCTGATAATTTCATCTAACTGTTTTATTTCCAGTAAAGTCTTCGTCTTTAATAAATTGCGACCGAATTTATTCTGGACGTAAATCATTGGTGATTGAGGACGTTGCGTCATTCTGAAAGCGTCGTAAAATTTGGAAGTGTTCATAGGAAACATCTTATCAATGAATTGTTTATCTGTAAAGACTTTTCCTCTGTCGGAATTTAATAAATAATCGACATTATCTATCGTTTCAAGATTAAACGTTCCAGCAGAAAATAAAGCTGTTATAATAATCGCTGTTATAATAAAATAAAGTGGATGTCTTGCGATAGTTCTTCCCAATTTCTCAAATAGATAAGATAAGGAGTCACTAATACAAGTTTTTCTCATTATTCCGTAATATTATTAAATCATATAATTTTGTTTCGATGTTTTCCTATATTATTCTTCCTATTGATGTAGACAGACTTCTGAAACACTGTAAGAAATAAAATTAATATGTATATTACATTAACAATATTTTACATCTTTAATATCCTTCAGCTGTGAACAAGTAACAGAAAATTAGAATGTGAAATGCATCGAAAAATAATTATATGATATAGAAGATATATACGTCATAGAAACTATTGTTGTACTATATGTGCAACTTCCCTCCTTATTGTCCGTACTAAATGTTAATGTATCTATAAAGGTACACTTTTTGAGTCTTGACGGAGTAAAGTATCACGGAAAGTCACACGAAATCGTTCCTTGCGAATAAAATTCAATACAGTTAACCCGAATTGACATAAGCACTGAGAAAGGGAAAGGAAACAAAGAATAAATTCATTGTTACTAAAGTAATTGCGTGTATGACGAGTTTATACGGATTTTTTAAATTTCATTTGTTGGCGATACCTTCATTTAGTATGATTATAACATCACTTTGCTTTCCATTCGACCCTAGCTATAACTTTTAAAAACAAGGTGTACTTCTCAGTGTTTCAAACCTAAACAACAGTCCATATTTATTGATTTTCTTTTTGAAACCGTGTCTTGTTCTATATTTGTGGCGTAGTAAACACTATTATTGTGTTTTATTTCAAAGACACATGGCAAATTTTCCATCAAATTCCTTTATTAGTTGAGTCGATACGGTACATTGTTTTGTACATGTTTCAGGCTTTGCCCCTCTTCAGTCAACTTGTATTTTCTCTTCCTTTCTGTGATCTTGGTGTCGGCTTCTTTGTATTTTTGTTTGATGAGTCTTGCCGTTTCTAGTTTCTGTAGATTTGTTGATTTCTAACAAAGGAATTTGATGGAAAATTTGCCATGTGTCTTTGGAATAAAACACAATACTAGTGTTTACTACGCCACAAAAGTACATATTTAGTTTATGATTAATTGACGTTTTTATCAATTTATTACATAACAGTAGAAATTTAATTACAGGTTTAAGTTGTACCGTATTAATAAATGACCTGAATTATTTCAGAAAAATACCGTTATTCCGTAAGACTTAAGAAACAAACCTACTGATAAATCGACAGTCAATTTGTAGATAAAGCTGTGTTTTATGTTTCAAAAATATCTTACAAATCTTAAAATAAATCTGTAATATATCGATGACATATTTAAGGATATTAAAATTAAACTTGAAAAACTTTACAAACTCTTTCTTTGAATTATTTGAACTAACGCATAGTTGCTGTATATTTTAATTTACGTGTGAAACACCCTACTGTATTTAAATGTAACTGTCATTTAATATTCATTGTACTGTCACTTCATAGAGTGTACATTAATGCTAATGTAAATTAAATATTGGAATTCATCTACGCTTTAAAATGTTTAAATGATTGATTTTAATAATGTAATTATCTTTTATATTTTTATTTTAAACAATGCAATTTGTATATATATTTTTTCATGTTATAAATCTAGAATCCTTTTTATAATACTTATACTTTTAATTAAAAGCGAGAAAATTATTATTAAATATAATGCATGGCGTCACGTAAAATTACAATCGAATTTCAGTTTCTACCGGACGTTCATATATAGTTAATCGGATCCTCCTGTGCTTCCCTCTTCTACCTCCAGTCATTACTTTCATCTATCTCACACCGTTCTCGAGACTGAGGAAGGACAGACAGACGGATGATATTGAACATTTGTGAGTCTACAATTTTTTTCAAATTGCATCTCAATAATAAATAAATAAATAGATATTGAAATGATAAAGATGAATAGTTATTTAGCAGCATTGTTTTTTAACACTGAAGTAAAAAAAAACGTAGATTCAGTTACTAAAGTAGATGAATCCGAGAATAACAAAACATTATATGAATATTTTCAATATACAGGTTGTCCCAAAAGTCTCCATATACTGAAATCAAGCCCACTAGTGGCCGAATTTATAAAACTATTGTACACGGGTATTTGGTCATTGGTTCGTGTCTGATCAATGGGCTGGCCACCATGCAGTGCTCTGGGTTTTCTTCATGTGTCTAACACTTCAACAAAATCCCCATTGGCAGATCATCCGTGTGTTCTGTTGCCTTAATCCGTCAATTCACTGACACAAATATTAATGCTGAAATTTTAATGTCTTGTGAATGAAGTTACATTTCACCTTTGTATGTATGGAAACATTTAGGATACCCTGTATTACTACAAAAAATGCAAGACGTTAGGAAATTTATTAAATAATTTTACAGAATTAACATTGATGGAAGTAAGTTAATGATTCGTTTTCACATAACTAGACATACCAGAAACAGAATCACAAGAGAAAACGTTTCCTGTTCTTTTTCTCCATTAAACCAGAAAATGAACGTGGTATTACACAGCAAATTTTCATCGATAATGATAGAAATTACAAGTAAAAATGGCTGACGATACTTTTATAACGCTGTATATCGTGTCAATGTTAAATTTATCGTTTCGACGCCACGTCGAAAATCAGTGGTAAACAAATTATTTGGTCCTTTCCTTTCAATTTAACTTCAAAAATTTAAGACGTCAGATAATGCCAGCAATTATAAAACTTAAGTCACCAAAATATTATTTTCCAATAGGTTAAGTTTAAAAATTGAATGTTTAACGGAACAAAAGAGAAATATATTTTAGTTTTCTACCGTTCGGAACCCGTTTGATCTGAAATTTTTTGGAAGAAAGTGACATTACGTTTCTTTTTCTGTTCTTTTTTTAGAATAATTTCCAGAAAACGAGCTTAAGACGAGCTTTTAAGACATATAATTCAAAAGTTTCCAATTGAAAAATGAAAAATCATAGAGCAATATTAGACTACTAACAATTCAACTCTAAAACTTAAGTTGTTAGTAGCTATAAAGGTATTAAGGCTCCATTATCAAAAAGCATGTACGAGTAAGAGATAAAGGGTTAATTAATAATTCGCTCTTAATATTTAAATTCTAGCAGAAAACCAGTGACTATCGCCATTACATTAATAACAATAAATCTGATTTAACTGTAGAACAGGTTCCAAATCTTTTAAATAATTCAGTTTTATTTTTCGTTAGTGCTTCTGATCTATAGCTAAAGTGAAACTTGTAATTCAGAATACGAAGAAAGTTTAAGAACAGTGAAAGAAAGATGTTATCATAATTAATTTTTAATATTTGAGACAGAAATAGTTTGAAATTTAACATATATTTGATTAAAAGGTTTCGTTTTCTGTACTAACTAACTACACTAGTGTAACAATACTGAGCATTGTTATAGCCCTGATAACATTCGAGAAATAAGTTGTACTTATTGATAATTTGTCAGGAGATAAAAAAAATCGTTAAACGTTTTAAAAAATCCAGCAACGAGTTGCTTAACTTTCCCGGCAACATTTGGTGGCAGCATTAAATACAGTACAGTTGTCCCTTGATAATCCGATAGGTATGGGACCAAAGGTGTGTCAGATTACCAAAAGTGTCCGGATTACCGAAAATAATTACATATTTCGCATTGTTTCGCTAGCAGTAACTTACAATATTTTTTACTCCAACTGTTCGAACAGAACTGCTCACATAAAACACACAAAATGTGTGTCATCGAGTAAGAATTGGATGGGGAGATTCACATCGCGACATTCTTCTGTGCAAGCAGACACGTAACGGGGACGGGTACCTTGATGGGAGGTGCGTCGGACTACTGAGCATGTCGGATTAAAAAACGTCGGACTATAGAGGGACAACTGTACTATTAAATTAATATACTCCCTTTATCTCCCCATCTCCTTCACCTTTAACCACAAAAATTTAACAGTATTAAACCTTCTAATAAACAAACTTCCCTGCGTAATTTCAGAAATTTTTGACAAAAAGCACAGGAGATATTAGGTTACAAAAGAATGAATAAAATCTGCCCCCCCATACACACACTAACATCCATACATATAGAAGAAAACCTCCGTATGTTTTTTGTATTTCTCGATGTTTCAAGATGTCCTAAGTCCAAAAATATAAAAATTTGCTATATTTCATGTATAACAGCCGGGAAAGTAATAAAACTTAGTTTCGATAACATTTTTTCTAGTGACCTCCATATAACTGGTTTTTTCGTTTAATAAGAAAAACTCCTTTTTAAATCAATAATATTACAAGTATTTCAGGAAATGATGTTCCTGTAGAATCAAATACTGATGCAGTTGAACAAAATAATACAAATGCCTCATACACAAATTTTGCCGTTTTCTGGCTTTCAGAACGTTTTCTGTACACAAAAAGTGTTTTAGATACTGATTACAAATGAGGTAATAAAACTTTGTATAAAAAAACGTGAATTACACAGTTTTTCAATCTCCAAACCTAATTTTTCTTCAAATTATTTCCTTCTTCCGCTTTCGCAATCGTTCTGTAGAACATAACACCTACAAGACAGTGTAATTGACTACTCAACCAAACTATGTTGCGACTGTTATGTTCTATGATTGGTTCCAAAGTTTTACCAAATGAACAATTCTATGTTACTTCGATTATATCATATAATAATAACTCAATAACACATTCTGCACCCATAATCGTATGCTTACCATATCCGTAAAGCATAATGATGTGCCATTCAATGAGCGAGTTTAGTAATTGAGGGAATTTTAATCTTCCTCCCTTGATTTTATCCATATTGAAAGTGGTGCCAGAAAACCTGTGAACGGCCTGTTTGCTTATTATTACCTTTTATTATTAATCAGACACGTCTATTACTACTTTAGGGAGTGCAGTTTATGTTAAATCTCTATAATAAAATAAGTTATATATATATATTATTATATAAGATTGATTAATTTAATGCTAGATGTAATTTAAATAGGCTGTATGGAGTGATTACTGTGAATATTAAATATCCAATTATATTCAAATACAGTATAGTGTTAGTTCTTATAGGATCTTGCCTTG